CCCCATCTTTATTTATTTCAATACCGGTGATTAAACTCAAAGCTTGCCATGACGGGTGCCCCAATTATTGATGCCAAATGTCAATATTCTGTCCCTTTACTGCTGGAAAAGCCGAATGAGTGCCTATACATCCAAGATAATAAACCCCTTCTCAAAAATTACCCACTCCAATCGATCTCTTCGAGGATAGGTCATGTATGATACATTGAGAATAGAAGAACGTTACTGAGCAATCCAAATTCGACCTGAATTTTATGACAGAAATAAGATTGCACTTAAAGTTTGGGACATATAGCACATCGTGCAAAATAAAATTAGGGCTTAAATAAACATCACCTCTTTTGATGGCATGAGTCACTTTTCCATTATGAGTTCGTATAGGATATGCACCCATGATATTCCTTGGTCAATTAGAACCAAAAGTTGCCATGTCATATGTTCAGAGGCGCAACTATCAATAATCCAATTTGTGTAAACATCATTGGGCCAATAGGCCTTACCTATGAGTTGATCATTTGAAGTAGACAATTTCATTACCATAAGCAAACTGACCAAATGCTGATATTGATCATTGCTAATTATTGTTGTCGTCTCTGTCCCCTTCAGACCTCCTCGACCGGTATCTGCAAAGTGTCAGAACTGTTGATGCTAGCCTGTGCGGAATATACTGCCGCTGTGGAATGATACCTTTTGCGTGCCTTTCCACCTCGCCTTGACTCCCAATTTGGAGGATATCCATTCAACTCCTAGCAATGACTCTTCTTGTGCCCAACCTTCCCTTGGTGGTCACATATAGGTTTTTCGAATAATGCTTTCTTTAGGCCCACTCTTCCAATTGAGAAAGCAACACCTTCAATTTTCCTTCCTCACACAATTGATCATTGGCGCTCCCCTTGCGTGATCATAGAATAAACGTTAACGAGGGACGGGAGTGGCTCAATGTTGAGAATTTGAGAATGAACATTCTCATTGATCTTGGCATTAAGGCCCATAAGAAACTGGTGGATCTTCTCCACTTCCTTCTTCTTTGCGTACATCATGGCTACAGCATAGGTACAGTTTGAGAAGTCATCATAGTCATCGAGTTCGTCCCTTAAGACCTTCAATTTGGTGTAGTATTCCACCACCAAGAGTCCTCCTTGCTGTAGGAGCCCAATCTTGGTTTTGATCTCGTGGATACAAGGTCCATTATCTTAGGCGAATCTCTCCTTCAACTCATCCCGCATTATCTTTGCTTCTTCTGCGTATGCCACACTTCCCTGGAGACTCCTGTCATGGGAATTGAAAATCCATGAAACCATCATGGAATTACAAATGTCCCTGGCATTTAATTCGGGTACGCTTGGATTCGGTTTCTCTAGTGATCCATCAATAAACCCGAGTTTATTTTTCTCCCGAAATGGGCGTCTTGTCGCCTTCGACCATGTTGCATAGTTATCCCGGGTCAGCACACATTAAACAAGTACGCTTCCAAGATTGTCAGAGGTGTTGAGATAATATGGTGAGGAAGGGTCAATTACCTTCTTGGTAGACGCTTCCAAAGCCTAGACCCTTCCAAAGCCATAACGCAAATGATGCGAGTCAAATTGTTTGTGTGTTTAAGCTCTATGGCTCTAATACCATGTGAAAATTCGTAATTTGCTTGTATTGCTGAACATATGGCACAAATATTTATACAACATACTTAATAATGAATTTAACCATCCAATAATGAATTTTACAAATTGCAGCAAACCATCCAATAATGAATTTTAACCATATAGAAAAACATAATGTAAATCCTCAGCAAATCTTCTGCAATAGTGCGACTCTATATTTAACCATTCAATAATGAACTTTACAAATTGCCGCAAACCAACAAGCATTGAACCAGTTCAGTTCATAAACAAACGTTTAAGATGATTATTTTCGGAGGATTTATAGGATTATTTTCATCATTGGTTCATTCAAGGAATAAATTAAATGAATGATATATATTTAGAAAACTGTGAGGTAAAATCCAAATAAAAAGAACATATGAAATATCTATTTACAGAGTATGGAATATGATTTACTATTATCTCTATAAATTTGTATAGTTGTTCTAAAAAGATAAGGGAATTCATTGCTTAAAAGCAAAGAAATCTCTCACCATGAGATTGCATATCAGTTTCCTTTATCTTTCGAAATTAATTCTAAATCTATTTTATTTCCATCCTCATTAACCCTTATGATTAATTAATTAAAATATAATATAATTAATTTGCCCAACTTATGTTTATCGTCAGTCTTATTTTCATGAGATATGTCGGACTATCTTTTGGCAAGTGGACTCATGCGAATTTTGGGTTTGCAATTCGTCACTATTCCGAAACACTCAGAAATGAATCATATGTTCTTCAAATTGATTAGGTATATTTAATTCGTTGAAGTGTAATGCACGAGCATGGAAGATAGTCACGTTCACGTGGTCATCGCAATCGAGTTGTTTCTATCAATATAGAGTGATCAAAAATTGCATAAAAGTAAATTATATATGTTTGACTTAGATAATGTCATCAACGGACAATTAATTTACCGTGCATAACCCGGTCAATAAATAAAATAGGCACAATCAAACCTGATGGAGGACATCACATCACAAGCATAGACTATGGGGGAGACACATATGGTTGATAAAGAAAATCATGTCTCCACTGGGTCTTTATTAGATAAATATATAAATATATGACCGAAGACAAATGAGACCAGTACCAAAATAGTTATTTTATTATGACAATCATCGTTTACTATATGACCCATCAACAAAATATCCTCATTCAATTGTAACATAATTTCGTGTTACCACTACATCACGGGAATAATATCGTGGAAGTCGAAAGATTTGAATGAAAATTCCCGAGAGCAGAATTTTTGCATTTTTTTTACTATTGGAATTTCGATGATCAAACAAAAACCATTCAAACAAGCAACAAGGTGTATCTCATGCAAAACTAAGTTCAACTCCTTGGCGTGATCGAGAATGTGCGTCACATCTATGTTGATGATGACAAAAAAGGTGGCTTCGTACTAGAGTGGCTCTCTGCTTCTGGAGACTTGTGAAACCTCCATACTTTTTTTCCATTCACAAGAAGTTGTGAATTGTCCATTTCCCAAGGCAAAGTCTTACGCCCAATAATATAGACCTTCTCGAATAATTTGGTAAATAAGATCCGTACCTGAATGATCACTACCTTAATAATTGTTTGAATTATTATTTTTAGACTATGCGAACGTGAATGGGACCATGTTATTTAAAATGTTGTCATAGCAAGATCTTTTTTGGTAGATGTAGTTCAAGGATGGCTGAGAGAAGAGACTAATTGCCAGAGTAAGAGGACTCAGACAAGGTTGACTCTAACAAGCCTTAAGGGTAGTAAAGGAGCGTGAATCGACCGAATCACATATAAAATAAAGTTAGTATCGTTAAACGTTGTGAGCCAACACCAACGCTGATGTTAGTGTTTTAAGGAAATATGCAATATCTCAAGTCCCAAATTAGATAGCAGAGGACTTCTTAAATGATTTAGAATTACATAGGAACCACTCCCTATTGGTTGCCACCTAGTAATGTCATTTGAGTACTTTTTCAGGTTTTATCTTCCTATATTGTGCGGGGTTGTTGCAAACCGTAGGATATATAAGCACTGAAAATCAGTTTGCAAAATGGTCCGACAGGTTGTAAATAAATATTTGAACAAATTGTTGTATTCAACAACGGCAATTTGTCGTGCAATAAAAAAACGCACAAGACTTCCAATTTCCATGTTATTTGGACTAGAGGTCATTGGTTCTAGGGTGAGTTGGTTTCCAATGTAAGTTCTAGAATCATTGGTTCATGAACCAGACACTCTAAAACTGATTCTTCCTAAACCATAGCTTGACCGTCCGGTCCAAGTCGGTTCAGTTCAATTTCCGAGTTGAACCGGACCCGTACTCACCTTATTCAATTAAAGGCGGGGTTGTTGTAGTGCTAACGTATTTCGTTTTTCTCGTCTTTTACATCCAAAGCGTGCAGCCCACGGAGATGGTCTCCACATTGCAAAAAGGCAACGCAATTACGCAAAAAAGACTTTGACATGTGAACCCGCATTAAGTGATGCCCCGTGGGACTGTGGTCGCCAGATGGATTAATCTATAGACCTCGTTATAAGCGATCCCAACGTGTTCGTCGAATCAAAGTTTTGGTCTTCACGTTGTAAGACTATAAAAGAAGAAGAAGAAGAAGATGCAAGAGCCTTGAGATTTGATTGAGTGGTCAAACACGTTGTAAACACGGAGCAGATGAGGCCAAGGCAGCGTTTGTGTAAAGTCCTACGCAATGCGTGATCGATAAAAAGCGGTTTGCGGAGATCGCAGACCTGGTTGGTCCGTAGTGCCCCCAACGCCTATGTCCGAAAATTCCCTAATAAAATTTCTCTCGTTTGCCTAACTTCATATTCTTGATCCGCCTCTAGTTTACTACTATTTGAAGAAATAAACTGAACCGGAATGTTCCGAGAGGATATGTTACTCAAAAGGAAGATAAACCTTTGAGAAGTTATTAAACAGAGTAAGATATGTAGTAAACTGAATCTGAACCACTAAAAATGGTGGAATCTATATAGATTCCATTATATCTAAAAGTTCATACTTAATTCAATTCATATAATCCGAATTCCCAGAATAATTTCTCGCGACTTATTGTCAGGACAAGCCTCCAGGCAGCTTCCCTGTGCTCATCTCTTTGGTTGTTGATTTAAAAGCGAACAATTGCCGTTGTTTCAGATCTGTTTATCAGGAATGATTCAAAGTCAAAACCACTCGTTTGAAAACTCTGAGACAAATCTCAGTCGGCGAAGGCCTTTTTCTAAGAAAATGAGGGCAACGTTCCCATTTTTTAGGCGTCACCTGCCTTGGAGGTTCAGCTGAAACTTGTGTGTATATATAGCATGTAGTTCAACCAAACCATCATCACACGTTTGAAACTTTCACATAATTTGTCTTTGAAGTCCCAGTAGTGCAAACAAATTCCTCCCCCAGTGTGCGTCCTACCACCTTCCCGGAATTGATCAAACAGCTTCGTTCCATCATGTCTTCGCCTTCACAATCCATTCACATCGTGTTCATTCCGCTCCTGGCACAAGGTCACATGATTCCTATGGTGGACATGGCGCGAATTTTCGCTTTACGGGGAGCAGTTGCAACTATATACACGACCCCTGTCAATGCCCTCAGGTTCAGAACAACCATCGATCGATCCGGCAAACTCGGAATGCCAATCCGGCTTGTAGAAATCCCTTTCCCGTGTGAAGAAGTGGGGCTCCCTATCGGGTTCGAGAATCTCGATATCCTCCCGTCACCAGAGCTATTGACCAAGTTCTATAATGCGCTGGGAAAATTGCAAGAACCGATTGAGAAGCACCTTCGAGAACAAACCCCTGCTCCTAGCTGCATAATATCGGACAAATACATATTTTGGTCATCCGAAACCGCTCAAAGATTCGGAGTTCCAAGATTTGTTTTTCATGCAATGTGTTGCTTCTCCGTGTTGAGCGCTCATAACTTGAAGCAATTCATTTGCTCGGATTCGATTACTTCTGACATGGAACCATTGGAGGTGCCGGGGATGCCAAAGGGGTTCAAGATCACAAAAGCACAGCTTCCAGGAAATTCCGTGCGTCGACAGGATTTCGAGGTCTTCCGTGGGAAGATACAGGAGGCTGAAATGGCAGCTCAAGGGGTTGTGGTCAATAGCTTTGACGAGCTGGAGCACGGATGCATCGAGGCGTACCAAAAGGCGATTGGGAAAAGAATTTGGAGCATTGGACCCGTTTCTTTGTGCAACAAAGATGAGTCAGACATGTTTCAGAGAGGAAACAAAGCCTCCAGCGATTCAGAAAAATGCATGGCATGGCTCGATTCAATGAGGCCAAGATCAGTGATTTACGCCTGCCTAGGAAGTCTATGCCGTTTAGTCCCGTCGCAGCTGATGGAGCTGGGGAGGGGCTTAGGAGCATCACAACAGCCTTTTGTGTGGGTGATCAAAAGGGAAGAGGGAGATTCGGAATTAGAGAGCTGGTTAATGGAGGAAAGATTTGAGGAAAGGATAAAAGGAAGAGGAATTGTGATAAGAGGGTGGGCTCCTCAGGTCGCCATGCTATCTCACCCAGCAATCGGAGGATTCTTAACGCACTGCGGTTGGAACTCGACCTTAGAAGGCGTGTGCTCGGCGCTGCCGATGATAACTTGGCCTCTATTCTCTGAGCAGTTTGTGAATGAGGCGCTCGTGGTGGACATACTGAAGATCGGAGTTCGAGTGGGCGTGAAGGTGCCGGTGAGATGGGGGGAGGAAAGGAAGGTTGGTATATTGGTGAAGGAAGATGAGATCGCGAGGGCTATTAATGCGCTGGTGTCTGAGGATGAAGAAGGAGAAGAGAGAAGGAAGAGAGCAGCTGAACTTGGGGGGAAGGCAAGACAAGCAATGCAGGAGGGAGGGTCTTCTCACTCCAATGTGTCGCGAGTGCTGCAGTATATTATGGCAGGACCAACCCAAGAAGCTGTTTGAGGCATCATATAGATCATGTGATTAAGTAGATATGAATCGTGGATTGAATAAGAATTGCATTCGACTGAGTGCACGGAATACAATATGTTGTGCTTCTTTCAGACTTGACCGTTCCGTATCAATTTAGCCACTGTGCGTCAAGCCGCATGAAACTCATGTTGCAAATGACTGGACTTTTATCACATCCACATCCCACTGATGAGCAGGCATAAAAATTTGATGATCGTCTTTTCGGTCTAATTTCAGTATAGAGTTTTCTAAGTGCTCTTGACCTTCTAATTTTGTTAGAGATCTTGACAAGTGGGAAACTTTGCAATGCTTTCAAAATTTTCATTGATTCTTAGGGCATGTTTGGTTCAACTTTGAAAATACTACTTGGGGGAATGCAAAAACCTTTGGGTGAAAGCCCATTGGGAAAATGCAAATGATATTTGGTAAAAATATTTTGTAAAGCTACTTTGGCCAAAATATAGTGTTTGGTGAATTTTTTTTACAAATGAACTTTGAGAATTATCTTATTTATTAAAAAAAAACTAACCTACCCATCGCCGGAGCCGGCCGCCGGCGATGGCCTACGGCCGCCGGCGAGATAGATCTGGCGCCGGCGACCCCCGGCGAGCCAGATCTGCCGCCGCCGGCGGTCGTCCGAGGCCAGACGACCCTTGGCGGGGGTCGCACGACCCAGGCAATGGTCGACTGAGGTCACGCGACCTCAGGCGACGGCCACCTGGGTCGCATGACCTCAGGCGACGGCCACCTGGGTCGCGGGACCCAGTCGACGGCCGCCTGAGGTCGCGCGACCCAGGCGACGGCTGCCTGAGGTCGCGCGACCCAGGCCGGCGGCGCCTGGGCGGTCGCGCGACCTCCGGCGGCCGTCGCCTGGATCGTGCAACCTCGCCGGCCTCTTGCCGGCGCGATCCAGGCGCCGGTCGCCCTCCCTCGCCGAAGAAGATGAACAGTGACGCATGAACAGTAGCATTTGGCAAAGGCTGAAAGCCCAAGGCTGGTCCGGACCAGCTTTGGGCTTTCAGCATTTGGAATGCTAGCATTGGCCAAATGCTAGGTCAAATGCTGAACCAAACACCCCAACATTTTGGGAAAGGGCTTTCGAGGCTCAAAGCCCCTTCCCAAAGCTGAACCAAACACCCTCAAATATCAGGCATAACCTAAAAAGAACAACGAAACTGCTGAGAAGTGACAACTAAGTTGAAATGGAAAAGGATGATAAACGAATATGTCCTTAAGATATATGGATCGACCAACGGCGAGGGACTAATCTGCCCTCTGGTCCTTCAAGTTTCCTCGAAACCAAGAATCCAACTGAACAGCAGCATCTCATCCCTTCCTCAATAACTGTAGCCCCGACAACTGTTGTCATAAGATTTTGAAAAAAATAAATTAATCGCTCTGCTCGGTGCAATATTAAGAACGACAAGATCCAATTCATGTGACAATTGTGGAGAACAAATAATGGCCAGTTAGTCATGGGATTGATCCATATGGCTAGACAAAAAGACTGCGCAATGCGGAGTGGGCGACCCGATATAGACTCCACGTTGGAGTGATAAAAGAAGCACATAGTAGAGCGCAAGATAGATTGATCCAATTAAACACCTGGTCAAGTTCCATCTTTACGAAACCAAATTTGTTAGGTTCCTTACATTCAAGAAACCCAGCAGTTTCTGAATGCAAGAGAATAGTAGTGGAAAGTAACCTAGATTGAAAATATTAGATCAAAGCCAGTTGAGTGAAAATTCATAGTTGTTAATGTTTACTTGACTACCTAATCAAATTTATTAGGTTCCATGACACATAGAAACTGATGGGCATGAGGCAAACCATGCATGGTGCTTTACTAGATAGTGGAGAAACCACATCCACCTTCACATTTTGAGCAGCTACAGCAGAGAGTGTGTTTCTTTTTTCACATCAAAGATAGGCATGCATCATTATGTACAGTAAAGTTTCCCTAAATTTGATGAAAACTGCTCGGTCCCAAACTGCATCACCAGTTCAGAGAATTTAGCAGTCTCGTCCACAGCTTCAAATATTACACTGAAAACCCAAACGAAGTATGAAAATCACTATTTTAAAGGAAAAAAGAAGGGGCTACCTAAAGAGTGCGGTCCCAAAAATTTTAAATATGTAGTGGTGAGAATTTATTGGAAACCAGGAACTGTTTATCGTATTTCTGAATGTTGAGCAAAATCCCTAATGAGTTTTGAGGAATGACAAAACAATCTATTATTGACCAGAATTACACTTAAGTTATTTGATGCAGGTAAATACTGAGTCATCAAGCTTAGTCGACGAAAGAACTTTGTCATCAGACTCAAAATTACTCGTCAGACTCAATGAGTGTTATTTTTGGCAAGTTTATGCAGGATAATCAAATTGATATTTTAAAATATCCAAATTGGTAATCACAAGATCGTTCCTCAAATACAAAGAACTACACTTATGGAAACCTTGATTTTATTGTATGAGCGATCAAATCACTCGGAGATAATGGTTCTTCTTCTAACGGCTATGCATCCTATTTTGGGAAGAATCTCCAACGGATTGATTTGGAGACCAATCCTCTGAAGACTATCTAACAGATAGATTGGAAGTAGAGGAGTATAGAAGGAGTACAAACGTCGTGCAAGATATAAGAATCAGAATCAAGAATTCCAAAGTCTGAATAGAGCTTCAATCTTACACACTTGTAATTACTGTTTTCCACGTTGTGTTTATAGAAAGAAAATTACTTGAGTGAAGAGTGTACGTGATAGTGCAGTCTATCATCTGAGAAACACTACTCTTGTAATCTTCTAGTGATTTAATAGTGAAACACAGCCAACAGGCTGGCAATGTGGAGAGTGGACGTGTCACGCCCCGAACCCTACGGACACGCAACAACCTGCTATGGTCGTTATGATGCGACGACCCAGGACTCGTCGTCGGCCCTTGTCTTTTTATCTTTGAATTACGCAAGCGAAAACGATAACCAACACGACAAACCCCAGACAATAATCCAATCAGGGATAGCAAAGGAAAACCAGTCATAACAAAAGCTTTTATCAAATAATACTATTTTGATTTTCACTTGATTAAACCCTGGGAGCACTCTTATAAGCTCACTTCGACATTTCCATAAAAGTCTACAAAAGATATCAAGCTGGGGGTCGATCTACTACACCAAAAGATCAGCTTCCAGGCCTAGCCCTCAAGGACAAACCAAAAACTGCGGTACTCCAAACCGCATAGGAAGCAACGACATGCTAAGGTCCTGAAAAAGGTTTAACAACAACAAATGAGATAAAATCTCAATAAGTTAACGGCCTAAGCCCCGCTTAGAAGGTCAACTCGCACGGGGGTCCCTAACCAGGCAATACAGCATCAACAGCAACATTATTAAACAACCACAGGCATCCTTACCTCGCCTTGGTATACTAATTGATGAAATGAACATGTCACATACTCGAAGCATTTAAATAGATTTCCCATGCATCAATGCATCACAGGTGCGCGTGTCTCGATTATAAGACAGAATCCACTTGGGCACGTCCCATACCATGCTTAGCAGTTTCTATCACATAATCAGGCACTATGCATCACACGTATTCCAGTTATTACGCCCCCTCGGGGCCACTACACATCAAGCGATCTGCAGCAAGATGGTAGTCTTCCGGCATAACCGGGCTCCGTCCCGCCCCGTCGGGCATGGCTACGTCAAACGATCTACAGTAAGACGGCATTCCAATACGGCAACATCAAACGATCTACAGTAAGATGGTATCCCGTAAGGAGCATCGAGTCCAGCCTCGGGCCGCGACAAGGCATCCGGAGTATCGGCAATCCAGATAATCTCCAGGCATCCGATAAATCGAGTATTGTCAAGCGATCTACAGCAAGACCCCGATAAATCAGGCATCATCAAGCGATCTCCAGCAAGACTGCTCCGACGTGTGACCACACGAGCACACAAGCATTCCGGCCAATTATTATCTTTTCAATTAGCCCATGCGTCCATGAATAGTGCTCACACAATGCCGCATAACAAATCAAGTGGTCACATATGCAAACAGTCAATCAATTTGTAAATCTCATTTCAAACATGCTTTCTTTCTCAAGACATCAAATTCATTTTGTAGACATAGCGATGACAAAAATTCATTTTCGAAAACTCGAAATCATTTAATGAAAATAGTTATAAAAATCATTTAGCTATACCAACTAATTTTCACGGAAAAACATAACCTAAGCATCACAATTCAAAGCATAAAAAAATCACAATTTGGTATTAAAAATCATTCAAATATTCATATTTAATTTTCGGAAATAAATTATTTTTAATATTTTTTAATAATAAAATATTAATATTTAATTCCAAAAATTAATATATTTAATAAAATAATCAATAATAATAAAATAATTGATAAATTATCAACAAATACGCGATAGCTTATCGCAAACCCAATAATAGCTTATCATGCAAATAATCACAGCTTATCGAACAATTACCGATAACTAATCAAGCAATTCCCGATAGCCTATCGCCAAATTTACCGATAACCTATTCCCCGATCTTCAACTATAACTTATCCATCGACGATAACCTATCGCCAAAAGTTATCTAATAATTTACCGATAACCTATCACCTAATCCCACTTAATTAACTATAGACTAAACTTAAACTTAATCTAAACTACCATAAGCAAGTTTAACACCCTAAACGAGGGATTTGGGGTTAACTTACTCGGCTAACGTCGGCGAAGACGCGAGGACGACGGCGGCAACGAGGGCGGTCCGCGGTGTCCTTGGATTGCTCTGGCGAGCGGCGAATGGGCGCTGCGAGGGGAGGCAGCTGTTGTGGGCTGCTCGGGGGTTGTTCCCGGCGGAAATGGCGGTTGGTGGCGGTGGCTGGGGGTGCTGGACAGCGGCGGTGAGCGGCGGAGATGGATGGCGAGTGTGGCTGGCGAGAGGCACAGCCCGCGCCCTGCTAGAATGGATCAGCGACGGGCGGCTGCAGGGCGTGGCTGGTGGTGCGGCTCGGCCAGAGGGGAGCTGGGGTGGCGGTGGTGTGACGGTGAGGTGGGGTGGCTTACGGCAGTGGCTGGTCCGACGGGCGGACCGGCGAGGACATGACCCGTGTGCAGGTCGGGCGGTTCCGGGGCGACGGCGGCAGCGCTGCTCGGCCAGAGGGGAGCCGGGATGGCGGTGGCTCGCGGCAGGAAGGCGGCGTGCGACGGAGCTGGTCCGACGAGGGCAGGCCAGCGATGGGCAGCAATAAGCAGCAGCCGGGCAGAAGCAAGACCAGCGAAGGAGAAGAAGAAGAGAAGAAAAGAAAAGAAAAAGAAGAAAAAAGAAAAAGAAGAAGGGAGGAAATGATGGGGTTGGTGGGAATGGGTGGAGGTTAGCCGAGAAAAGGGGGAAAGGAAGAGAGAGAGAGAGAGAGAGAGAGATATATATATATATATATATATATATATATATATAATGATCGCGATCCAACGGTCCACATTTGAACCCGAAAACGATCTAACGGCTCACCAAAAATTCTAATTATAAACTAAGGAAAAATCAACGGACACTAAATAAAATAAACCTAGAGGGAGGTCTACTAGTCCAAATCCGCACCCGGTCAAAATTTCACTTTTTGCATATCTCAGGCAATATCGAGGCTGGCCACAATAATATCGACACCGTCCAATTAAATTCGTCCTGGAACTCCGAGAGATTCGACACCAAAGTTTAGGCTCTAAATAACGGCCAAATTAAATAACGGCCAAATTCGATCGAGTGCGATTATAGCGAAATCTCAATTTTAAAAATAATAACCGAGAGTGATCAGTTCCCGGGCGAGATTTTACTATAAGCACACTGACGAATTACACGTTTTATAAATCCCAAAAATGGGCCGAAATTCGGAATGTCACAACACGTAAGCTTGATAAAGCTGAACCATTATAAAGATCTGTGTGCAGTATTTTCTATCCCTAAACTTTTATTTATTGTTGCTGATATTATACTGCATACATATCTGTTAAACAAGTTCGTCAGAACATCGTCTTAATTATCAGACGCAATCATCTGACGATAATTTATATATAAGTTTGTCATATGCATCCATTTGATATTAATCATACGAGTTGTTGACCTCAACTATATTCATTCTGCACGTTTAAACCATTTAATTTGTAAAATCACCTATTCACCCCCTCTAGGTGATAGCACTAGCCCTAACAATTGGTATCAAAGCCTAGTGCTCATTTTTCTTTGAAGTGTTATCTAACTTCTGAGTTAACGATTCTTGATGGCTAGTAATGCTGAGTCAAGTCACAACAACAGACCACCTTATTTAAATGGAACTAAGTACAGTGTCTGGGAAAACAAGATGAAGACATTCATCTTGGGAATAGATCAAGACATATGGGACATTGTTGAACATGGAATCATCCCGAACGAAACAAAATCCCCAGAAACTTCAAAAGGACAAAATGAAACACCTTCTTCTGATGGAGTTAAAGAGCAAATCAGACCTCAAGCTTTACGTCTCTCGGCCAAGGAAATTTCCAGAAGAATCCATCCGGATGCAAAAATCAGAATGGCTATATACAATGGTCTGGCAAGTGTTGAATACAAATGAATTGCAAATCTCAAAACTACGAAAGAAATTTGGGATCGTCTTAAGCTTGTTCATTAAGGAACAGAAACAGTCAAGGAGACAATTCTCAACATTCTCCTTGGGCAGTACGAGTCCTTCACTCAGAAACCAAATGAAACAATCTCTGAGATACAGAGCAGATTCACTGAGATAGTAAATGGGCTTGAATTCCAAAACAATCCCATCTCGGAACCTATGAAGGTGAACAAGTTGCTAAGAGCTCTTTCAAAAGAATGGAACAACATTAAAGTTTCTATTCGAGAAACTCAAGGGATTAGACCACTCACGGTGGATGAACTTATCGGAACTCTTCAATCCTATGAAACTGAAAAGTTCTTAGAAATTAAAGAACCCAAAGGTAAAAAGTCCATTGCTTTAAAAACTAACATTGATTCTGATGACACAGATATAGATTCAGATGAAGATGAAGATGAAGATGAAGAGTTGGCTCTAATGGTCAAGAAACTGAGAAAGATGGCAAAGAAGGTGAAGATGAATAAGTCAAAGAAGCAATTCAAGAATTCTTTTTTTTTTTTTTTTGGTAAAGGTAAGAGTTTGTATTACTTTTCTGAATCACCAAATACAAGGAAATGACAAGAGAAAACCCCGAATCCCGAATCTACATGAAGTCCGAAAGAGGGGGGGGGGGGGCACTCAACAAGGCAAAAACGAAAAACTAACAACCAACAATTCAAGAATTCTGAGCCATCAAAAGACAAGAAGCTAAATTTTCAGAAGAAATCAAGTGCCAAAAATGAAGAAAACAAAGATGTGATATGTTTCCACTACAAAAAGAACGGACACATAAAGCCCAAATGTCCCCTTCCCAAAAAGAACAAAGGAAAATATGAACAATATAAGAAGGCTTTCAAAGCTGAAACATGAAGTGTTTCAGAGGATGAAGAAAGCGAACAAGAGTTTGCCAATATTTGTTTGATGGTAAAATCAGACTCAGAATCAAGTTCTGATGAAGAAGATGAGGTAAGTAATTCAAATATTCCTGAAGCAGTTGCAAATTATATTGATGAATTAATTTATGCTAATAAAACCGTCGTCAAAAAGATTTCTATCTTGAAGAAGGAGATTGTGTCTCTAAGAAGTACGACTCAAAACAAGGAAATTGATGAGTCAATTGAATGTTTAAAAAAGGAAAACAATCTTTTAAAATAGCAAGATATTTTGCAAAAGGATAAGATTGATTTCTTGCAAAAAGAGTTTAATCTTATAAAAAAGAATAAAGATTTTCTTGAAAAGGAAAATGATTCACTGAAAAAGGAAATTTCAGATCTGAAAAATATTTCTAAGGAAACTTTTGATCGCATCTCTAATGAAAAAGAACTCTTGAAAAATGACATTTCTAATATAACCAAGAAATTCTCAATGGGTTCTAAAAATCTTCAACATATTTTGTCAATTCAAATTCCTTATTATAATAAATCAGGTCTGGGTTTTGATAAAAATACTAAATTGAAAAATTCTTTTCCGAATGTCAAAGAAAGACTAAAGAAAAGACCTTCTAAATTTGATTACAGAAATCACTTTCAAAAGCAGTTTGTAAAATTCAATGGTCAAACTTCACAAAAATGTATAAATTACGGTAATTCAAATCACTTTAAGAGTGACTGTTCAAAGGTTTGGAGACTTATTCAGAGAGATATTCTGAGAATGACTGATCCTAATCAAAATGGACCCAAGAAAATATGGGTACCAAAGAAAAAGTGAGTTACTTATCTTTTGCAGGTACCAAAGAAAAGAAAGAACAAGTGATACCTTGACAGTGGTTGCTCAAGACACATGACCGAAGATCCTCTAAAATTCATTAAGTTAGAAAGAATTAAAGGAGGAAGTGTATCCTTTGGAGGTAACAACAAAGGAAAAATAATTGGCAAAGGAACTGTCAGAATCGACAATCTCATCATCAATGAAGTCTCACTTGTTAAAGGTTTGAATTTCAATTTAATTAGCATTAGTCAATTATGTGATATTGGTTACAGAATTACTTTCCAAGAAAACAAATGCTCTGGGATAAGTAAAGACAACAAGTAATCATTTACGGGTCAAAGACATGGAAACATCTACCTATTATATACAAAGTCTGATGACTTGCAATGTCTTATTTCCATAAAAGAAGAATCTGATCAGTGGCACGGGAAGCTCGGACACGTCAGTGTCAAGTTAATTTCTAAAATAGCTTTCAAGAAACTTGTCAAAGGATTGCCAGAACGAAATTTTAAAGCACAGAATTATGTTCAGCTTGCTCTAAAGGTAAGCAGGTAAGAAGTTCATTTAAATCAATAAATTATGTAAGCACTAACCGAGCTTTGCAGTTGCTTCATATGGACATTTTCGGACCTACTCAAATTCTAAGTCTTGGAGGTAAGAAATACTGTTTAGTTATTGTAGACGATTATTCAAGATATACTTGGGTATTCTTTTTGACTCATAAAAGTGAAACATTTGAATATTTCTCAAAATTTGCTAAAAAGGTACAAAATGAAAAAGGTTATACTATTTCGAGCATTAAATCTGATCATGGAAGAGAATTTGAAAATCAAAATTTTTCTTATTTCTATGATGAAAATGGTATTCAACCTATTTTTTCTTCACCTTATACTCCTGAACAAAATGGAGTAGTTGAAAGAAAGAATAGAACTTTGCAAGAAATGGCTGGAACCCTTCTATTTGAAAACAAAACTCCAGCACATTTTTGGGCTGGAGCTGTTTCAACAGCTTGCTATATTTCAAATAGAATTTTTCCAAGACAAATTCTTGAAAAGACCCCTTATGAATTGTTCAAAGGTAAAATTCCCAATGTTTCATACTTTCGGATTTTTGGATGTAAATGTTTTATTCTTAAAAATCCTAATGATCGTGTTGGTAAGTTTGATTAAAAGTCAGATGAAGGAATATTTCTTGGATACTCAACAATAAGCAAGGCCTACAGAGTATATAATAAAATAATCAAACAGTGGAAGAATCGTTAAATGTCAAATTTGGAGACACAATTTAGACTCAACAAGATGATTCTGACATTGAAAATCCAGCATCTGAAAAATCGGACATAGCATCTGATGAATTGACGGCAAGTGAAAATGATCAGAATCAAAGATCTGATGAAGCTCAGGAATCATCAAACCAGCAACACAATAAAGAA